AGGAATAAATAAAAACTAAAATTTGTGACCCTTTCTCTCAAAAATGCTCCTGAGTGAATAGTGTCATGGTACTGTAGCATGAACAGCATCATGCTATAGTACTTATTCTAAACCCTAGTTCAAGTAAAATAATAAGACATGTGGGCTAAGCATCCACAAATCCACTTATTCTAAACTAATAATAAAAATTCATTAAACCAATTGAAAGCCTTAACAATAAAAGGCCCTATCTCTAAATCATGTCTTCATGTCTTCCACAGCTTGGATCAAGTGGATCAAAATTGGTTCTACTTCTTTCAAGCCCATCTTGAGTGTTGGGCTCTTGCTAGCTTCATCCCAAGTGGATTGCACCAAATCTTGCATTGCTTCCTTGATCTTCTTGGCTCTTGATCTTGTAATTGACCCATCTAGACATGCAAAGGATCTTTAAGAGTAGGCCCACCTTGGCTCTCATCAGTATGAACAGTAACTCAAAAAATTTAAAATAAAGGAAAATAGGCTAAAAACATGGCCTCCAAGGAAAGCTTGAACAGTAATTCCGAAAATTTAAAAAAAAAATAACATAATTATCGTAGATAATTCCAGAAGGTAATCCTTCCAAGAATAGGAGTATTATTGGTCTCCAAATTCCTTTCATTTAGGTAGTTAAAATGAAATTTGTAGGTATCTTCTCTAAAACATTCACAAGACAAAACTTGTCTATTTTGGGTAACCTATAGGTTTAACAACTTATTGGGTAGGCTAAATGCAATCGTGATAGCCTACAAAAATGATTTTTAAAAAAAATTCATTTTTATGTTTATTAGGTTGTTTTACTATGCTTTGAATTCCTTTGTATATATGTTTCTAGTATATATATATATATATATATATATATATATATATATATATATATGTGCTTGTGTTTGTGTGTGTGTACACGCACACACACACACACACATATATATCTATATATATGTTTGTTGGAAATAAATTGCATTGCATATACTTTAGAATTTGGGGCATATATGAAAAATGATTTAAGGCTTTGATGGGTAAATTTTTTAGGCTTAGTAAGTGTGTAGGATTTAAGGTGTGAGTATTAGTTTTACTTGAAAAAGAAAAAAAAAAAGAAAATTAGGAATTTTTTTAAATTTTTGTTAATATGAACTGATAGGTCGAGGTTGTTTTCTACTAGTTCATTTTTTCTATCCGAAAATTTTAAAAGAGGAACATAAATGGTTTTTCATTTCATTTGCTCAAAATCAAAACCCTCAAACACCTGTCTAGGATTTCTGAAAACCCCTAACCAAGCATCTAAACCTCTCCAATTGACTCAACTTCTTCATTGATCTTGGATTTTCAATAATGGCTTTAAGGAAACCAGCAGTTTCAACAACCAAGGGTTGGATTTCATGGATAATGGGGCTTATTGTTCTTTATTTCTATGATGAGCTTGGTGGTGATAGTTGTGGCTAGGGTGAGTGTGCCTTCATCAGTGGCAGGGCTATCCCAACTGGTTTTTTAGGCCTAAAACCAAGCAAAAAACGTGTTCCATTGAGCAAAAAGGGTGTTTTTTAAGTAGGGTCCGATTATGCCTCAAACTATGTTTTAAAATCATCCGAAGTCTAATAAATTAAACAAACAGCTCTTAGGTCTCAAAGATAATTAACCTTTTCCTAAGCAAGAAGGTACATATAGAGAGTCTCTTGATATTACTAGCAGCATGATCTCCTCCCTTCCATTGAAACTTTCGGATTATCAATTTTATAGCATGATGACAGTGGAATAGCTTGACATTTTCAAAAAAACTTTGTGAAATTAGCGAATTACAAATTACAACACATGATCCTAACAAAGTGTAAAATCTTGTTATCTCTACTGGAGAGGTTTGAAGCTAAGGTAATGAAATTAAATACAAGTGTCAAATTTGGAGGTGTCCGTGGAGGACCTAGTTTGGTCTATATTGACTTTCGGTATGAATTTCCTACTGCCTAAAAAAATGAAGGGGCATCATTGTGCTCAACAAAAGAAGGAGGAAATCAATTCTAGTCACCCCCACTTGAGAGAAAAGGACATAGCCTATCTTGCGAGGAAGTTCAAAAAGTACTTCAAGGCTAGAAATCTGAGTCCTCTAGGTAGAAGGGTAATTTGAGCAGACCAAAACCTCCCAAGGAGGGGAGAGAGAAATGGGGATGAAAATATTGACAAGAGGTTGAGAAAAGGAGGTAAGGATTTCAATGCTACAAGTGTCAAGGCTTTGGACACGTGGTTGCAAAATGTCCAAGTGCTAAGAAGAAGGACATGTCCAAAGAATAGAGAAGAGCTATGAAAGATAAGTGGAGCAATAGTAGTAGTGATTCCACTCCAAGTGAGGATTCTTCTTCTCAAGAAGATGGGGTGACTTTTACATCTTTCAATGGCTCACATTCTTCTCCCCTAGAGAAACTTAAAGAAGTGAAGTACAAGAAGATGAACAAGTCCTACCACAGTGGTAGAAGACTTGGATGTAGAGGTCTCCTCAATTGAGGATGATACTGAGAGCATTGAGGATATTCAAGAAGCATATGATTAACTAGTAGAAGAGTTCCTCAAAGGAAAAAAGACAGTGCATGCATTGAACACGAGACTCAAAATGAGTAAAAATGAAAAGCAACCACTCCAAGTGGGCTTAGTTAAGTCCAAGTCTCATAATTGTGGGCTTGAATAAGAGATTAAATCATTGAAGAAAAGAGTGAGCTTTCTTGAGAGTGAATATTATGGGCTTGTTTTAGTCTAGATTTTAAATTGTTAAAACTTGTTAGAGACCTTCAAGAAATCACAAGAACTCTTTAAGAGACTATCCCTAGGCTTGGAAAAGCTTAACAAAATATTTTTTATAGGGAAGCACTAAAACTTATAACCATCAAGTCCTCTATTACCTAATAAAAAAAATAGAAACATGTACAAATTATGACCCTAGGGTATTTGATGCAATGCATGAGTATACAACTCAGTCCATACTTCTCACCTCACCTACTTTTTAGGTGACGCAACCTTGTCGAAGGCATTTGGGGCATCCAACTTGGTTGAGGTGGTGTGTGAGATCCGGACATGCATTTCATGACATTTGACATAATGTTGGGGGTTAATGAGTAATTTGTTAAAATTAGCTATGGGATAAAATTACAATTAAAAAAAATCATGGGAAGTTAAGAAATATTTTTTCTTTAAAAATTCTATGGTTAATTTATTAGAAGGTACACTTAGGTGTGATTTATTATATGTTGGAATGTTAAAAGGGATATATGTGTAATTGGTCAAAGAATGGGTGAGTCATTGATACATATGCCATTTGTAAAACTCTCTAGCTTAGTATTTATGATGGATGCTTGAGAATTGTGGGGAACTCACCATGCATATACCGATTCTTTAGCTTAGGAAGCTTGGCTATTGGCCTTGATAGTGATCCGACTTTTAGTTTCGAAAATGGCATGGAGTGAATGAAATTCCCTTTCCTTCTTGAAATAAACCAAACACTCTTCTCTACATGTCACCTCATAATTCTTGGCTATCTTGGGTGGTGTTGGGTTGAATTGGGGACTCAAGAACTCTAGGTTCTTCTCACTTGGAATTTTTGGTGTATTTCAGAGAAGTAAGCTTCTTGGTAGGTAAATCTCCTACTTTAAATTATTATGTTTTTTAGCTTCTAAGTCTTTAAGGATGGATTGTTATATGTTTGGGAAAAGTTGTGGATGAGGAAGGATGGTTGTAGGAGTTATAATTAATTAAAAATCTCTGGGTACATGGGAGAACCGATACAAACTATGTTGTACTGGTACAAAGGCATTCTAACTTGGGAAGAACCGGTACAATAGAGTTGTACAAATACATTGATAAACCAGTAGTACTTGTACTAGTACAACCAAATCTATTTTTTTTTTGTGTTTACCGTGATGCTTTTAATTCTGTATCTGTCCATTTTCAAAGCAGTTCAAATCAATTCCTCATAGATTAATTTGTCTACAACTACAAGATTAAAGTATTAAACTCAAACCTAGCTTAACTGAGATGGATAACTAACGAGCAAAGCTTAAGTGGTTATGTTATAACATTTTGGGAGGGGATTGGTAATGAGTTAGTCAAACATGATTAGGCATTCATACATATGCATTTGCGACATAGTTGATGTACGGAGAATATTCCTGTGAAGTTTGTGACGATGTGTATTAGGCACAGAGGTGAGTGTACTACTTCAAGCAATTGAAAATGCCTAGAGTATGTTTATTTGTTATTTAAAGAATGACTGTGTGGGTTACTTATTTATGATGGCATTCTAATTTTGCTAAATAGCCTTAGTGGCAGATATAACCTTAAAGGAATGTATATATGGCTTTAGTACCATTGGATAAGAGACATCTCGACCAAGAAAGTCCCCTCGTGGTATACCTCAATATTGTCACATGCCTCCTTGGAGGTTTCACAATTTGCTATCTTCCATAACTCATTAGGTTTCGGCATTAAATATCACATTCAAGCCTTTTGTGTTCCACCCCGTTAAGTCGCACTCAACATTAGTCTATGTATTTAGGGATTTTGGTTCAAAAAGCGCTTTACCACTATCAACTAGAGTGGCGGTGGTAAGAGGAGTTCATCCTCTTGCATATAACAACCAAGCTCTTCCATCTATAGATTTTAGAAACACTCTCATTTGAGATTTCCAATATTCATAATTCATGCAATGAAAGAGAGGTGTTCATGCAATCGATCCTCCTCCTTTTTTAGAATCCATTCAAAACTAACTTATAGTCACAATAGATCTAAAAGGCACAATACTAGGTAATTAAGAAAAAACAAGATATACGTACAATGTGTCTAATTCAATCTTCAAGGCAACCACACTTTGATACCAATTTTTGGGGGAGCGATACTGGGTATCTTCCCTCACGATGAAACATGTGGGATGCTAGACACTACTTATCGGGGGAGTGAATAGGTTAATTAAAAATTCTTCTTGAACAACCAACAAGTTATAATCTGATATGACTGAACGTGTTATATATGATGCTGGTCTATCGAGCTATGCAACTGTGAGTAGCATTATTCAAGGATTTGCATGGCAATGGCCTACCACTTCTTCTCATTACGTGATGGAGATTCATGATAGGCTCCTCACCCTAGCTCCTCCCAATCCACCAAGAGCAGACAAGCTAGAATGGAGGCCATCCAATGGGGAGTTCTCAACCAGATCAGCTTGGGAGGTGTTGAAGTAGAGGAAACCGGTGGTAGGATGTTGGCACATTGTGTGGTACCCCAAGGCTATTCCCTGAGTTAACTTTATTACCTGGCTAGCCATTCGGGAAAAGCTTAATGAACAAGATAGGCTTCTTCGGTATGGAATTATTTAGCAGAATGAACCATGTTTTTTGCCTCTCCAACAAGGAGTCCCATGACCACCTCCTTTTCAATTGTTCTTATACATTCAAAAATTGGGTTACCATGCTACAAAGGTTTGACAGCTTGAGAGAGAGAGGAGTCTTTTCTATCAATCAAAACTCTATGTAGGAGTCTTCTCTTCTCATGGCTACTTGTGAGTAAAATTGTTTGTACTTTCTAGCTAGGGATTTGGTTTTATGAATATATGAAAATTCTTTTATGAATGCAATCATTAAGTGACTTATTTTTGTAGTTCTATTATTCTTCACATATAGATTGAAGGAATGATATTAGTAAAGGATTGATCAAGCCTAAAAAGTGTGTAATTGAATCTGGATTTAGGGTTAGCTCTATGCATAAATTAGGTTAAAATGATTAATTTATAAAGTATTCGGATTCATGCGTAATTTGTACATTTTGCAAGGTTTCAAGCGAAAATACATAAATTAAAAAAGAACAAAGTGTAAAGGTTAAATGAAGAAGGGAAGGTAAGTGCTATTACAAAGTCAACAAGGTCACATAAGTAAGGCTGCCAAACAGGGAAACCAGAGGTTTGCCACCATTCAAATAGTGCCTAACCACCTTTCCCCCTACTCTTTTGCCATTGGTCCAAATGTGTAACAAACCACCTTGATTGGATGATTTGGGTGTCTGCCACCTTAAAGCCTCCTTCTAACACCTATAAAAATCCTGTTGAAGCCTTTTCACAATGGAAATTCACCGGAGTTTAGTATAGTGCAAGAGAGAAAAAAGGAGAAAAAGAAAGGGCGAGCGAAGCCCTGCTAAAATCACTTCCTAGTCAGAATTTTTTGTACTTCTACATTTCTATTTATCCTTTCTACCTGTAAGGTTGAAACTCTCCCACTTTTGTACCCTAGCTGGTAATAAGAGTGGCAATGTTTCAGCTATTCCTCGGGGAAGGATGTGTTGTATTTTGTTTTCGGATGTAATTGGATAATCTCACTCCTTTTGCTTGTCTATAGCAATGAGGCGTGAGTAGTCCGTTGACACTCTTCAGTGAAGGGTGAATGCATGTGCAATACTGTTTAAGTTATGGAAATGCTAATGTGTTATTTATGCATTAATGTTTATACCTACCTTAATTGATGGATGATTACATTTATAATATGCTCATGGTTATGAACACTAAGCAAAGCCTATTAATATATACCATGCTATCTGTTAATATTTTGTCCTTCATGCATGTATGGTGATACACGTAGTTGGACTTTATGCAATAGTTGAGAGATTGGTTATTGACGGGTTAAGTCTCGCCATAATCAATGCTTTTGATTCAATGCATAAACCGGTCTTCATTGAATCATAAACCAACCGAATGAATAACTAGAGTAAACCTTTTGAATGGTTCACCTTCAGATTTACCAGAGCTATTTGATTGTTGCACAATACATAAACCTTCCAGCTAAACTAATAAGTTGTTGTAATATGGTTTTGTTATACATCAGACATACTGGTTAAGTTTCCAGTAAAATGGGATTTAATTATTGTAAGGTGGCATTTTCATAAATAAACAATTTAAAGCATGTTGGATCCTCACACTGAAGAGTATCTTTTTATCATTGTTTTTCAAAAGTTTTAGTTAAGTGTTTATTTAACAATTCTAAACTCACACCATAAGCTGTTGCGTTGCACACTACACACACGACAATTTTACCATTTCTGTTTTGAATACCGACAGTTAGCTCCATGTGGGTTTGACCTCGGACTTAACTGAGAAATATTATAATTTGACCACTTATATTTGAATATATGACATAAATCAGGTCAAATCAAGCTTTTTGGCACCACTACCGGGGAGTTACGGTGATTCCAAAACAAACAAGAAAGTTGTGTATTTGTATTATAGGTGTATGTATTGTTTGTTGTAATTTTCATTGTTTATGTGTGTTAAGTTATTAGTAGGGTCTGTAAATCAATCTAGTCCTTCATCTTCATTATCTTCATCGTCAGAAGCATCTTCTGATTCTTTTGAGTTAAGCATGTCTAATAATAATCAAAAGGAACAAGAGGTAGTTTAGAATGTTCGTTCGACCTTTAAGATAATACTTGCATCCCATACACACTAGTGTCCCATCATGTTTTTATTTTCCCACTAATGCTCTAAGTTTTAACATTTAAGGCAACGACAATACAACTGTTACTACTGTTTCACCCTTATTTGCATATGAAAGAATTTGAGGAAGTACGTGGTGCTTAGTAAGATAATTCAGAAATCGGTTGGTTGAAACTTTTTCCTTTCTCTTCAAAGGATAAGGCTAAACAATGGATAAATTCTTTAAAATCTATTCAAAGTTGGCAAGTCTTGCAAACTGAATTTTTCAAAAAGTTTTTCCCTGTGAACCACACTAATGGATTGAGACGTCAAACCATGAATTTTTCTTTGAAAGAAGGAGAAACTTTTTATCAATGTTGGGAGAGATTTAGGGATCTTCTCCAAGCTTGCCTACATCATGCATTTGAAAGTTGGACTTTATTTGATTTTTTTAATGATGCCCTCTCGTCCGCACTACATTAGTTTGTTGAAATGATAGCCTAGGAAGAATTCATAGGTAAGAGTCCAAATGAGGCATTTGAGTTTTTTAATACCATTTCTGAGAGTTCCCAAATGAGGGACTCGACCTCACCAAATATTGTTGAAACTAAGTCATCTTCATCCCAATGAGGGAAATACATGTTAAAAGAGGATGACGACCTAAGGGTCAAAATGACTACCTTGTCTCGGAAGCTTGAAGCCCTAGAAATGAAAAAAGTCAAGGAACTTTCTGTTGTGTCTCCCGCTGGGCAATCATGTGGAATCTATGGATTATCAGGAAATCAGATGGGGGAATGTTTCATTATTCCAGCATTTAAAGAGGTCTTGATGGAACAAACCAATGTCATTTAAAATATTAACAAACCTTATCCCAACCCCTATTCTGAAACCTATAACCCAATGTGATAGTAATGCCCCGAAATCCACCATGGAATGCATTACTATCTACAAACCAACCAACCAACCATGAGAGCAACTAAAAATACTAAAGCCAATAAAAAATTTTAACTTCTCCAACTTACAATTCAAAACCAAAGAATATCTACTAGAGGAATAATAGAAACTAGCTAAAACATTGTTTAATAGACCAACTCTATTCCTCTAAGGCAGGATCCACATCCTGATCCTCCAACGGCTCGTAATCAACTTACTCATCGACATTCACATCCTATTTTATGCCAAAATCTGTAATTTTGTTGTAGTAGGGGATGAGAAAAAGCCTATAGGAAATCCCTCTCAAATCCCAACAAGGTTTTAAAACAATAAAAAGAAGGCAAGTCTCTTTTGGAAAATAGCATATATAAATTTTTGAGAGTAAAACCATGATAGTTGTAATGATTTCAAGTGTACAAAAATACAATAAATTGATGAAAAGAATAAACATGTTATAATTAAAGAAATCAATCAGTAACTCAGTAGCATCATCTCATATTCTCATGTATGTTGGTTACTTCTCAAGAATCTACACAACAATCCTACCTCGTTCACCCACCACTACCACACAATCTCAAACGTTCCCTGTAGAAGCAAATCACAAACCACTTTAGAAAGGGCATATATCGTCTTCCACGACATTTATGAATCCTTCCCAGGAAAGGTATATCATCCCCCAGTCTCGAACTTACGTGAACAATAGTGGTTGCTCTCACAAACAACAATCCATTACTAGTGTTAGGCAACCATCTCACTCCCACTAGGATAGACTAACCTCTAACACTCTATGGTAGCTCTTGAAGGTAATTTAAGTCCGTCACAACCAAAACATACAAGAGATGAAATCACATTTTTTTTTCAACAACCACAATCTTAACCAATCACAATTTTCATTAACAATTCAAGTATCACAATTACACAATTCTCTATCTACTACTGTAATAAAGATATTAAAATATGCAAGAGATCATCTCAAGAAAATCTTCACAATTTCGATATTCAAAATTCTAGGATTTTGTCAAAAATCGTAATTTCTTGGAACAAGAACAAGTATTAGATGAAAACACGATTTAATCAAGAATAGGAATTTAGAAATCAAGAATCCATGTATTTTTCACAATCAAACATGTATTTAGCAAGATTGGGGTTTTGGAAACTCCTTGAATTCAAACATGTAGTTTGTTCAATACCCCATGTCAATGATAAACAAACCAAGAAATCATAAGTATTTATCATAAAATTATCAAGAAGATTGAAAACATACATATACAATACCCAAAGCCTCAATGGAAGAACTTGAGAAGAATTCCGTACCTTTAATGCGATGATTGTAGATAACCCTAGCGTGTTTGAATCAATCCCAGAGCAAGAATCCTCCTCCTGTCTCCTATTTTTCTTCCTCTCAATATTTCTAGGGTTTTCTCATATGAACAATTGCTAAACATAGGCCTAAGAATCATTCCCTAGGTATTTATAATCCCAAAAATGGAGAAAACACTCAACAAAAATCATCCAAGTTCTGCCCGGTGGTGCGTCCGTATGAATGTTTTTCTTGTCCGAACCCATTTGACTTTTTTTCCAGACTTCCAATGACATTTTGACTCAGTTAGAAGCGGATTCATGAAAATTTTATAAAATACACTTTGTATCCCTTGAAGTCTAGTTTCTATTGTCCAAATATCAGCTCAATTAGACATTGGAATAAAAATGTGTAACCAAAATACTACGGTAGTGTCAAATTCCATTCTACCAATCCTCTCCAAAATAGGTTTTAACACCGAAATACTTTTTAACTTCTAATACACATCATATTACCTCTCTCAATGTTTCTCGACCTTTTGAATTTAATGAAAACTTTATTTTGACCTAAAAATATTTATAGAATTACTTAACCACCCTTCTCAAACTTAAAC